AGCTGGTAGGCGTTGGAGTCAGGACCTAATTGTCACAGTTGCTCCAGAGCCTGGATTCCTGCACATCCTGCTGGGTTGGCCCACTGTGTGGTGGGAGAAAGCAGCATTTGCTTCATGTCTACTCTAAGCTTTTAGGTGTTTTACTTAACTAGACTGATCTTCAGCATCTTGTTTTCAGCTTGAGAAAGCAAGTATCTGATAAATTAAATGACTCACCTAAGGACACAGCTATGAGTTAGGAAAGCCAGAAGCCAAGAACAGACTTAAGGCTTGGTTACAAAATCAAACTGTGGGATCTCCCAGACCAGAGGGCTTGACATCTTGGCTTCACATTGGAATTACCCAGGGAGGGGTAAAAATGCCCGTGTTTGGGCAGTACTTCCAGGGTTTCTGATTTCATTGGCTTGGGGGTGCAGCTCTGCAAGTGGATTTAAAGATTCTCCCAGGGGATGAGGATGCTGCCCACTGCCAAGAATGCAGATGGTTTGGGTCCTACCACACTATTTTATTTCTTTAGCCAAAAGTGAGAGCAGGGGTGAAATCCCATCCGTGAAAGGCATACCTGCAACAGTGTTTCTGTGACAAATTGCTGCAAACCTGTCTTAAAATGCTTAAAATTTATTCTTTCACACTTTTGGAGGCTGGAATGTGAGGTCAAAGTGTGAGCCAGGCCACACTGCATGGGAAGGTGTGGGATAGAATCCCTCCGGGCCTCTTCCCAGTTTCTGGTGCTGGCTGGCCAGCTCAGCACTTCTTGACTTGTGGCCTTGTTGTGCGCCTCTGTCTCTGATGGCTCATGGCTTCCTTCCCTGCGCCTGTCTCCCTGCTGATGAAGACATCAGTCGTGGACTTAGGACTCAACCTATCCAGTGTGACCTCATCTTAACCAACGGCTCTGCAATGATCCTCTTCCCAAATAAAGTTCGGGTGGGGGGACACTGGTCCATGTGGTGCAGACAGCAAAGTAATATTGCAGTTTCGAGGAACACATGAAACATTCTATGAGTAGCAAAGATGAAATTTTCTATTTTTCGGCACTGCCTATTTTTCTAAAAAGATATTAGATAGCAGCCTGCAGGCCTAGCATATGTAGAGCTAAAGTTTGACACGCTTTGTGGTGTGTTCAGGAACCCAGAGACACCAGAGGGCAGGCAGAAGGTTGAGCGGCTTGCCTAGACCATGTGTGAAGACGCAGAGGCCTGCGGCAAGGTCTTATTCCCACTGGGGAGCTTTGAAGGACAAGCCTGTCCCCATCTTCCTACTGTAAGCTGACATGAAATCCACACTTCTCTGCCAGTTGCCAAAGAGCATCACCATCTCTCACATGTGGTGTGTACGATTTTGTGCATGAAGGCAACGGAAACTTGGAGCTTTGTTTTGAGACTTATTTTAATCAAACAACTGTTATTTTTTTCTATAATGAAGCCTCAAAAAAAGTTTGAAAGTACAAAGTCATTGAAAATCTGGTAATCTGATTCCATAAAGGACATATGCAGGTGAAAATGAAATAGCCAGAACTTGACCCTCATTTATTATTTTCCCCTATGATTCAGAAGTAAATACTCAATACAAATAGCACCATGGCTTCCTTAGACTGGCTTTCTGTTGAGAAGACTAGCTACCCAGTTATTTCTGCTCCTAATTAATCTTGGCAGTCAGGCTGTATTATGTCTTTGCAAGCTCGTAGTTTCCATTTGGGAAATGCCACCTAGCAGTCAGTTGTAAGAAATAGCCAATCTGCCCCTGAGGTTCTCATAAGCTATCTCCCTGCCCCCAAGTCCAGCATCATGCCCATCAGAAGCCTTTTCCAGTCCTTGTTTGTTTGTAATCCATCGTTTGACCCTCGGTGGCGTGAGGTAGACACACAGCTCTCAGGTTGGCAATTCACCCAGGACAAACACAATAATTGGCATAGAAGCGGTGGACTCTTTTTCCTTCCAAAACACTGTGAGTCTTTATAAAGTCTCAATAGCGACACTTAGGCACTTTCTTAAATAATAAATCTCCATTTCCATTTGGAGAGAAATCCTGGCCTTTCTGTCTTCACTCTGTCTTCCTTAAAAAAGGTTACAGTTTGATCTCAGTTGTGCTCAGCCCAGTCGTTAGGCAGAAAGGAAAGGAGAGGAGACCATTATTTCTTGGTGAGTACCACAGAATTAAATCTTCAAACTTGCCAGATGATATTATTGTACACAAGGAGTCGGCTGGATTCAAAGCTACAAAAACACGAACTGGTTAATGTGTGTGTGAGCTGGGGCCCGATGAAGACTTTGTCAGCTACCACACTGGGAGGATGGAGCACGTTGCCATGGCTAGTGAGCCTGCTCTTGATGTTGCTCAGCTCCCCAGTTAATACGCATTAAGAGTAACCATAAATACCTAATAAGTTACAATTTATCGTGGAGCTTCAAATTGCTTACCCGTTGAAGAATGACACTGTGCTTGGGCTGTGGTGAGCTCCCTGTGTCCCTGGAAGCCAGAATGAAGCCCCATCATCCTGTAGAGAAATGATTACCCAGTGCAACATGGAATAAAAAAACTCTAAAATGGCATGTGCATCGCTGTTCATTTAGCACAGTCGTTAGAGGCTGATGTTAGTGAACTGGAGAATGAAGTATCTGTGTGTCTGAAGTAAGACTTCCGTTTTCTGGAGGCCCAACAAGATGTTGACTCCATCACTCTCAGAGTGGTTGGAAAACAGACCCTGAAGCAATGTTCATTTGAATTTGGCTGATTCCAACCAGCGAGGTCATCCACTGGTCAGTGGAATTGGTAAACACTAAAGTCCTGGCATGCAAAACTGGTTTTGATGAAGTCCTAGGATGAGCCTGGGAGGGAGGTAGCTCCTGATGTCTCAGCGCACACACAGGTGAGCCCAGGACACTGCTGAGCAGGGTGCCTGCCTCGGCCCTGACCCTGGGCAGGCTGTGGACAGGGCCTGCCTGGACAGCACAGAGGCTGGGGGGAAAACACCAATTTGCATGAAAGTCTGGCTCTGTCTCGCTGACTAGGAAAAGCAGCATCCTTGGGGCTGGGTGTTGCTACTGTTACATTGCAGCAGATTAGCCCAGTGAGTGCATAAACGCTTTGCTCTTGCAGGTGAACGGTAGTTAAGAGTGGGGTGAGCTGGTGCAACCCCATGAAGGGCTCAGGTGTCAGAGGCTTGCCTTGAGCCAGCTTCCTTCCTTTTGGTCCTTGATTGGTCAGAGCTTTAAGGAAGGCATATTCAGGTTTTTCTCCGGATCCTGGGGACAAGGCTAGAACCCATCCTGGTGTGTCCCACCACACGTGGGCAGGACACCCACACGCTCGTGTGGAATCCCAGGCCCGCTTTCTGGTCAGTGCTTAGGGAACTGGCCTGTGACAGTAAGAAGCCGCCTGTTTCCCAAGGAAGATGCCCCCAAGACCGGCTCCATGCCAGGACAGACCTGGTCTTCCTAGCCTTGGATTTAGTGACATCTTGAGGTGTCTTCCATCCAGTCAAAGTAGCTTCATAACTGATTTTAACTTCCTTATGGAAATACCTGTGCTTTTGATGAAGAACATGCGTCCTCAGTGGATGAAACCGCGTCGTGGGCTTGCAGGAATTAGGGAGCCAGGGCCAGGGATTTAGCTCAGTGGTTCCGCCGCCTGCCTTGCAGGCGGAAGGACCCGAGTTCAATCCCTGGTACCAAAAAAAAAAAAAAGAGGAATTAGCGGAGGAGGCTTTCTGAGGAGATGCTCTGCTTAGTTTCGCAGGGGCTGCTTGGCATTGTGAGACCAGAGGGAGCATTGGCTCAGAGCTGGGCGGGATCCCTGGTTCTCCTACCACATGTGCCTCAGTTTCTTCTAAAGGGAGTGTAAGTAACAGTGAGTACCCAAGAAGCCTCACAAAGGAAGCACCCAGAAGGTTCTGGAACACAATCGCTTCAGAAAAGGTGATTTTACGATCAAAACAGCAAAATACCAAGCAGCCCAGGTGCCTGTCCTTGTACAGTCCAGAACATCCTGGGGAGATTCTGATCGCACTCCCTGGTACAGTCCATAGTCGGATCAGGATGCAGCCGGCTGAACAGAGAAGAACAGATGCACAAAAGTGAACTCCCCAGAGGCATAAATCGAAAGTACTCTGAGATCTCTGAGATTCCCTCTTCTGGGGACCTGGCATGGGTTCCACATGGAGCCCACGGCCCTTTAGAGAAGGAGCCTTCCTTCCAGAAGGAAGTTAAATGTATTTAAATGCAGGTAAGACTGGAAAGAAAATAGAACTTCCTTCTAGAGGCTGAGGAAAGGAGTTGGAAATAAACAGACCAGAAAGCAGAGATAGTAAGAAGAAGGTGCGGAAATGAATGTCCTTTGCCAACAGCACTGCCAGGGCAGGAGAGAGCCCCGCCGAGCCCCACCTCCTGTGTACTCCTGGCCCCTGTCCTTGCCTCTGGGGAACTAAACCTAGGAGCCCCAGAGACATTTGCGCTACTGCTGAGCAGAAGGGGCTGCCTCTGGCCACCAGATCTCCCAGGTCTCCACCAGCAAGGTTCAGACCCGGGGGCTGTGCTTCCCTGAGCAGAAAGGCCATGGGACATCGCGATTCACTGCGGCTGGTTCTCGGCCGTGCGGAAGATCCAGCGCCTACCTCAGCAGATGAGTGCCTGAGGGTTTCAAGGCCTCTCCTGGAAGCTGCAACTGTGGGAAAGAGGAGAGGGCTGCTTAGGGGCAGCTGGCTTGCTCTTTGGTGCAGCCCTGCTGTCCTTGGTGGCTCTTTGGTTGGATTTAGACCCTCTTTCTCCTGGCCTCCTTGAGGTCACATGCAGGTGACAGGGTCTCAGTGTCAGAGTATGAGCACCTTGAGGACAGGGCTGGCTTTCGGGCACAGGGCCCGCCTCCGTGGATGCCGATCTTGCTTCCTGCGGGAATGATAGCGGCATCTGCCCTCCCAGGACCTCCCGAGGACTCTGGGAAGCAAAAGCAAGCTGGTTTCTCACCATACTCTTTTCTTGCCTCCTAGTGTTTGTGGCTGTGGATTTCGTGGCTGTGCCAAGAGTGGCCTTGGGAGGTTGGTGGAGGCCCTGGTGTCCCGGCCAGCTCCGTGCTGCAGAGCCCCTGTCCCCCAGGGCTCTTGTCCTGGCTCACCTGGCCGGCCAGGTCTTCTGATTCCACTGCTGTGTGATGGTGGAGTCGACAAAGCAGGGGGCTTGACAAAGACAGACCTTGAGCTCTCTGCCCTCTTGTGGTGCCAAAGCCACCCAGGGATCTCCCTCTCATCCCCCGATGACGGTGTTCTGCAAATAACAGTTGCCGATCCCATTCAATCAAGACACAGGCAAACACATTGGCCACAGGCATAGAAGAACCCAGCAAGTGGGCCAGGAGGAAAATCGACACCCGTGGCTCTGCGGTGGGAGCTTCTGCCCTGCCCCGCGCTCCAGAGAAGCGGAGAGCCCAGCCCAGCTCATGACCCCCAGCCCACGGGTGGATTCATTCCACCGAAGACTGCAAGGAACCGCAAAATGGGAGACATATTTAAGGAAGTATGCACAAACCGGTTTATTTTTCTTATCTGACTTTTTTTCTGGTGCAATGTGAGCGCTGTTGAATACTGGGCAGCTGCCTTTCCGTACTTGAGCTGTTTGTCATTTCTGGGGCTGCTGATGCTGTTATGATTCCCCTTTTGGGAGGAATTCACAGGCACATGTTGACCCAGCTGAATGGGAACAGGGAGCAGCAGGGGTTTTGTGAACAGGCACCGTCGCATGCCGGACAGCATGAACTCCTTCTTTCACTCGACCACACTGTCGATGCGAGCTGCTCCCCGCACCGCCGCTGGGCTGGCCACTTAACCCGCTGCAGCTCATTTAAAAAACCCACACTGGCCTTGAAATAAGCCTTCCCTTTCAATGCTCTCTGTGAGTTGTAGTCGGAGCGCTGCACAGCATTGTTGACACATCAGGGAAGTTGTCTCTCGGTAGCAACAGTTGCTAAGTGAGGTGCAACAGCCTTTAGAGCTCACAGAGGGGTGAGAAGGTAGGTCAGCGAGTGGACCAGGCAGGGACAGATGGGACAGATGCAGGGGCCAGCAGGGAAGCAGTGAGGCTGGGCTCCAGCCTTGACCTGTGCCTGCCTGTTGGGAGCATCTAGCCCTCTCTGGCCCTCAGCCCCTAGTGCTGCTCTGTGTCTCATCCCCTCGTGTCATTTGTGGGCTCATGTGCCACATTTCTAGCATCTGAACCCTCCAGGTGCTGGGGTCCAGGAGCTCAGAGTCCCGAGGGAGAAGTGGACATCAAGGACAATGAACCACAGACCCACCCTGTGGCGGGCACCTTTGCAGTCACAGAGGATGCTGCCAGGGCCTTGCCTGTGTCCGTCCAGGACACCCCACAGTTCACCTGCAGACTTGGTGACAGTTGCTGTGTGCAGCAGTGCCTTCTGGGTCTTTCCACCCTTGAGCCCCTGCTAGCCGCAGGGATGGCTGCCCCAGTAGGAGTCTTCCACCCTCAAAGGCTGGGAGTTGGCAGCACCATTCTGAGCTGCCTTGCAGACAGTTTCAGGAACATGTCCCATGGCCCACAGTAACAGATGCTCAAGCGCAAACCCTTTCTTGCTTTTCTTCCCTTCCCATCTTGCTTTTCCACTTCCTCATGAGCTTCCTAGGCCCACTCCCTGTTCACCCCTTTTTGTACACTTGCTAGCAAGCATGTGGGGGGCTGCCCTGGGTGCCTGGAGAGTCAGGCCCCCTTCTCCAGGAGAGGCAGTTGGCAGGGATTGTGCAGAAGAGCACACGCTGAGTTTGTTTCTAGGAGGTGATTTCTCCAGGGCAGAGGGGTGGAGAGTGTGGTTTTCAGCTAAAAGGGTCAGTACATGGAGCAGGGAAGGCTGGGGAAGCTGGAGCGGGAAGGGGCAGTTGGTGAAGGGGCCAGGGACCCTACAGGTTCTGGGGCTTTCTTCTGTTGCAAGTGAGGCTGCCCTGCAGGATCATGACTGACAGAGACAAGCAGATTGGAGCTTGAGAAAGATGCTGGTGGAACAGGGGTGGGTGGCTGGGGAGGGAAAGAGGGACAGAGGAGCTATGAAAGGAGGAGCAGGGAAGGAGAACCCGAGGCCATGGGCAGGACCCCTAACGGTCATGGAGGGACAAATGTACAAACAAGTGTGCACGGCACTCAGCTTCAGGTGGGAAGCAATTGGATGTGCGCTGTGGCACAGATAAATCTGAGGACATCTTGCAGATAGGAAATCAGTTCCTGCAGAGCACATATTGTGGGAATCCATGTTTATGAGGTCTCGAGAGGGGCCAGAGCCATAGAGGCAGGAAGGACGGTTCCTGCCAGGGCTGGGGGAAGGTGTGGGGACAGAATTTCCATTTTAGGAGGCGAGTTCTGTGGAGGGATGGGGGCGAGGGCTTCAGGCAATGGATGTGCATAGGGCCCCTGAATAGAGCACTGAAAAATGGTGAAGATGCTAAATTCTTTGTGCTGTATATGTTGATTGAGAACAAAGGAGAAGGACTTTATAACTGAACACAAGTCAGGGGAGGCCCTCTGAGTGGACTTGATGCTGGCTTCTGGTGGCAGCTGAAGGGCACAGCCACCCTCTCTGCACTTAGCAGGTACCATAGTTACTTTTCTCCCTTCTGAGACAAAAATACCTAACACTCAAAGTTAAAGGAAGAAAGGTTTATTTGGCTCGCAGTTTGTAGAGGTTTCAGTCCATAGTTGGCTGCCTCCAAGGCAGAGTGGCACATGGCAGAGGGGCCTCTCAGAGGAGAAACAGTTCATGGTGGGCAGAAGGTAGCAAAGCAAGCAAGTGAGGGGGCAAGACAAGCCTCTTTCTGTCCCTTATGTTGTATTGAGGTTAGCGGGATTAGGGCAGTGCCAAACCAATCAGTGGACTGATTTAGTAATCACCCACCCTTAATCCTAGCACCCTTAATCCTAGCATGAGTCAGTCACACACTCTAGATCCAGCCACCTCTAAAAAAGCCCCACCTATGGCTGCATGAGGCTTTAGGGAGACATCTAGACACATCTGCAACAGCAGGGTCCCAGTGCATTCCCTCCCAGCTGTATGCTAATGAGACTCTTAGACAGGAGCAGCCCTCTGACCTGCAGAACTGGCAGGCCACTGCCCGTGGTGACTGCCACAGGGGACACAAGCATCTTGGGCCCTCAAGGCCAGCTGACCTTCTGCCATGCTGGTGGGGAGTGAAGGGCACTTACAGCAACACTGTAAACTGAAAGGGAAACTCAGGGAAAAAAATGAAAGTAACAAGTCGAGATTGCTGACCAATATGGTTGCAATTCCTGTTTTTCCTCCAGATTTGTGCTGACCTCTAGGTCTCATTTCCATGTGATTCTTGCTCCTCCTGGGATTGAAATAAGTTGTACACAGGCCACTTATTGTAAGACAGTGAGAACTATGGCCGATATTTTACAACTTGCTCTGAACTCTCTCCCATTCCCTCTGCAGAAATGCATAACTTTCAGGAAGCCTATGTTGTAAGACAGGAATAGGCAAACTTTCATCATGGAGCCAAGTCCCTCCCATGGCCTTTTTTTGTAAATAAAGTTTTATTGGAATATAGCCAAACATGTTCATTTACATATTGCCTATGTCTGCTTCTGTGTGGCCACAGCAGAGTCCAGTAGCTGTGAGAGTGATCCCATGACCTGGAAAGGCAAAACTATTTACTGTCTGACCCGTTACAGAAAGCAATGCCAAGATTCTGTCATAAGAGATGCAGAGGTGCTCAATTCTTTGAGAACTGGGGTATATAATTAGGTATTTTTTCCAACACATTAAAAGAAGGAAAACTTACTATAAAGGATCCGGCGACAGTCATGAAAGAATCCCCTAGAACAATGTTCAGAGTTAATGCTGGTACTTTAAAGAGCTCCTACCAGCAGATTAGTGGGCCCTAGGAGAGAATCTAAAACCCAGACAATAAAATATTCCATCGCATTCCCCTGACCCAACAGCTAGGACCCAGGCCAGTGTGTGAGGTAAGCAGATAGAAGGACACTGGGCTATCTTAGATGTTTCTGTTTTGGAGGAGGCGTCTTTTTGTTGGGAAATTCTTCCTAGATTCAGACATATAGGTCTAATCAGTTCTATAAGTTTGGCGTTGCTCCAGGTTAATTCTACCCGAAACAACATCATAAATCTAGAGCGTCATAGGAGCAAGATCAAATGGGTCTGAACAAAGCCCCCACAGGCACCCAGCACCTAGGGCAGCCAGCCGAGGGCTCCATGTGGCAGCCTGGCCTTGTGGGAAGGGTGTTCCGCAGCCTGCCCGGCCCTGCCCCATTCGATGCCACTTGCAGACACTTCTCCCCGTCCTGCCCACAGTTCTGAAGACCACACTGGTGGCAGACGCTATGACACATCCCCCAGGAGGACACGCTCCCCCAGGCAAGGACCGTGGAGTTAGTCCAGGAAGGGACCTTGAGGATGCTCTTCTGCTGGCGAGGGCTGCCGCTTGTGACTCTGGGGACTGATGTGGCCTTGCCGGGCCCTCCTGCATCTTGCAGGTGGCTCTCCCAAGCCTGGAGTTCCAGGGTCTCCATCTGCCTGGGAGGACACTGTCCCCTCTTGTTGCCTCCCCATTAAAGACCCTGTAGAGAAGGGGACCTGGGGACAGGGGGACAGGAGTATGTACTAAGCCCCCCAAAGGAAGGTAATTATCACAAACACATATTAATGAAATGACATAAGATCAATATTAAAACCCCACAGAAAGAGCAAGCATTTCTCCAATTAAAAGGGTTTATGAGCTGCTTTGATAATGAAAAAACCCCAACAAATGCATACGTATGCAAAAAGATAGATATTTTTTAGAGATACTTTTAAGAGAAAGAGGTTAAATGAAATGAAATTAAAAAGTTAATAAACTTGGGGGTAAAATATTTGACAAGATAGACGACTCCCGAAAGGCTGGGATGCCTCAACACTTCTGAGAGAACTGATAATTAGCCGATTCTCAGAAACTTTATTTCTCACTGAGTACCATTTTATGTAATTTTCTGACATTGAAACAACAGCTCTTCTCCTTGTTAAAAAAAAAAGAAAAGAAAAGAAAGAAAAGAAAATCAGTCCCCTCACAGTCAACAGAATCATGGTTTTGACTAATCTCTGTAATCAGCAGCTAATTTGCCTTAGGAATAATAATAGTAACAATATGCTGTTATGAAAGACTATGCTTTTATCGCTTTATTTGCCTGTGATTATGTAAATTCCAGATACACGACAGTTAGGGAGCTGCAGAAAGCGGCCTGGCGTGTGCCGTGGGAGCTCTGGGGAGCGTGGAGAGAGGGGCCTTCTGCCCCCAGGAGAGCCAGATTTCACCCCCAGTGCCCAGTTTATTTTCTGCAGATTGGCCAAAGCCTCTGAGAGCTTGAATACGCGATGTCCGAAGGGTGGCTGAGCCCAGTGCCTCCCCCGCTCCCCGCCTCTGCTGACCTCACCCCTGCTCTCCCCTGTGCAGGGCAGGAGTGCCCCGGAACCTCCCCTGGGATCTCTCAGGCTTCCGCCTGCTCCTGCTCCCAGGTGGCCAGCTCAGGGACCCTGCTTTTGCTCCCTCTGCTGGGAGGGCGGTGCCAGCCGACTGCGTCTCCTGGGAGGTGGCCCTGGGCACTCCGGCCCCTGCTCCTTCTGGGCTTCCTGTGTGCGCCGTGCAGGAGCTGGGCCCTGCCAGGCTAGGCACACGTGTGGACTTGCACCCCATGTGTCCCAAAGCCCAGACAGGAAGGTTCCCCTGGTCCAAGCTGGGGCTCCCTCTGTGCCCAGCGCAGGGAAAGCCCGTGGCCAGGCTGTTGTCCCAGTGGCTGGTTTCCATGGTGGACTTGCCCCTTTGGACGTCCTGCCCTAGATTTCCTCGAGATGCCATCCCCCTGTCTTACTCCGTACCTTGCAGCGTGGCATTCAGTTTGCTGTCAGGATTGCTCCGTGGCTGAGCCGAAGTGGGCTTTAGACCTTGGCTCTGTGGGCAATCGCTCAGCATCTCTGTGCCTCAGTGTCCTTTGGGTGACCAGGACTTCTCACCATGCTCTGTGGAAGCACTGGGTGCAGAGTTCTCAGGAAATGCCAGCCAAAGCCAGCTGCTCTGGGACGTGTGCCCTCAGGGTTTTGTGCCTTGCTGGAACTGGTCTCATTCATCTCACTGTCACACAGTGGCAGATCAGAAGCAGAGCCCAGGCCCCACCTATCTCTGATTTACATCGAGGATGTCGCCCACAGTGGCCAGAGGCTTGAGCGGAAACAGACGTTTGTTTCTCAGCTCTTCATATTCAGTCGCTAGAAAGTAAGTGAAGTCTGTGCTAGTTTAGCACCAGGTTACAAATGAGGAAACCGAGGCCCGGAGAAGTTAAGCGATTGCTCAGTGTTACACAACTGTGAAGGGGCTGGGCCAGAACCCAGGCTCGGAGCCACCCTATCACACCTGGGTGGGCCCTGCAGGGAGCCTGATGGGGAGATGCGGAGAGCTTGCTGGACTCCCTGGGTACCCTCCTTCTCCCTTAGGCCACCCTTCCATTCAGCGAGGGGCACTGGGCTCAACTCAGAACGTTTAGTGAAGTCGGGGCATCTGTAGATTGGAAGCCACAAACCCCACTGCCGCTTTCCATGCGACTCAGTCTGATCTTAAACCTCCTGAGCTTGTTCACCTTTTTAAATCTGTTTTTCCTTCTCTCTCTCTTTGGTATCACATCTACCCTGCAGGATTCTGTAAGGCTATCTTATAAACAAACAGACAACACATAAACAAGACCCTGATTTGTTCCTCTCTTCACTCCTAGGCAGCGCCCACTGATGACCACTGAGCTGAAGGGTCATATCCTTTCTAGGACAGAGCAGGAAGGACCCTAAGAGGTGGTCTTCCCCCCCAATCCGTCCTGGGCTCAGACGTGGGGGACATCGAGGCCTGGTTTAGACACAGAGCTCAGCTGGCTAACTCCCAGCTCGCTACCAGAGGACACTCCATGGAGAACACTTCATGTCTGGTGAAGGATGACATTTCACCGAAGACAGCTTGAGTTCTAAAGACGGTTTTCTCTGTTATGGCTGAAAACCACCTTTTCCCAAACCAGATTACAGAAAAGGTAAGCCAGACAAGTCCCCCTTCTGTTGGACACTTGCCTTCAGAGTATAATTTGGAAGTTTTAGAGTATTTGAAAAATTTCTAATTGCAGAAAATAGTACAAGCACAGAGGAAAAAAATATTTATAAAAACAAAACAAAACAAAAACAAAAACAAACTGGCCGAGGAAACCAAGTCATCACATGACCTCTCCAAAGCCAAAAGTTACTCCGGGCCAGTAGGTGTCTCAGTGGACTTTATTTTCTGTGAAGGGTGCAGAGTTAATTGATTTTAAGATGGTTCATTTCAGCTGTGCCTGGCTGACCAAGCTATTCCTCTAAAAGGGGCCCCTGTGTCCCAAGTGGCCAGAGAGCTTTGCCTGGTGACTCCTGGTGAAGCATGCTGGGAGATTCAGTCAGGGACATCGGCAGAACCCACGGAAGAGCTGGGCTCTGAAGTTCTCTCTTGCACACGCTGAGAGGCATTTGGGGACATGGCAGAGAAGTGAGAGCGTTGACGATTACTCATCCCATCGTACTGGCTGCTCTGCAATTATGAGGAATGTTCCCGAGGCTGGTGTTGGTTGGGGGAGAAGGCTGGATTGCAAAGCAACAAGATAATTAGGCACAATTGAATTAACTGAAGAAGAAGTGTCAGCCTTGGCTGCAACCGTCCTCATTTCATTATACTCAACCCTGCAATGCCTTTTCTTTCTCATTAAATCATTTTTAAGCAGCACCAAAACATCAAGAAGACAGTAAAAAAGTAAAAATATGTGAGGAGAATGTATATGCCATTAGCACCATCTGGAACATATTTAATTGGATTAGTTCCATTCAGACACCACTCGGTGGAATTGTTACCTTACATACAACTCACAGCCAGCAATACAGTGTGTGCGTGTGTGTGTGTGTGTGTGTGAGACACTCTGACCCCATGTCTCTTTGGTGGCTGTGGACAACATGGGGAGAAAAGCTTTTCTACTAGAGGTGAAATCTACAAAGGTAGAACACTGTGGCTTTTCCATCAGACACTGGAGGTGGTCACGGGGACACCAGGGACATGGAACCAGATGTGCAGAGGCAGGACTGAGGAGGAGGGACAGAACCCCTGCCCTGTCCAGGCTGCCACCCCTGCCCAAGGAGGAAGGGGCCATGTTCTGAGGGGCCCTGGCTGGGGGTGGGGTTCCTGGTCACTGACCTCTGAGTCTGGAAGCTGCAACCACCAAGGGAGGGAAGGGGACCAGGGGGCTGAAGGTGACCACTTGGCTAGCAGTGCTTCAGTGTCTGCCTGAGGGCCAGGCCGCACACTCTGTGAGGGCTTCAGAGGTGTTTATCCAAATGGGATTCCATGCTGCCATCTGCCTTCCTCCCGTCTCAGGTCTGCCCTGCGAACACGTCAAGGTAAGGTCTTGTGCAGATTACGGGGCGCAGCTGGCAAATACATAGTTAAGCAAAGCAAGGCCGCCCAGGTGTTCTGAAAGGCCAGGGATGCAGAAGGATGCTCTGCCAGCATGGAGCTTTAGCCAGGGGAGGCTCAGTGAGATGAGCATTCCCTGAGAGTGTACAGTGAGCAGGGGGCATGAGGGGTGCAGAGGTCGCCTGCTGGCTTGCGTCCAATGCCGTGTGATCTGGGGTACACTCCACCCACTGCAGTATGAGTGCTCCTTGGCCTTATGATGTGGTCAAAGCATATGGTGTGTGTTTAAACTTCAAACATTTGTTACAGTAGAAGACCATATTGTCATCAATCCCCCTCAGTACTCTCCCTCATTCTAACACACTCTTCCCATCGTTCTTGCTGCTTCTGCAGCAGTTCTGGAGTCCTCTTTTGTGAGTGTCTTTAGTTGTGCTGTAGTGGCGGCCTCCACATTTCCATTCAATTCAAAACATTCCCCTTTCATGGTCGTCTTGACTTTGGGGAAGAGCCAGAAGTCACAGTGCTGGGTCTGGTGAATAGGGTAGATAAGGACGCACTGTAATGCTTTTCTGAGCTTGCATTTCCACTGGATGGTGCCCAGAGGCAGTGCTCACCATATGTTAGATCACAGCTGGTACAGATAGTCAGGAAAGAGGACTTCCAGAATGGCTTTAGAAAGTGGCAAGAACAACGGGGTAGGTGTGGGGTTTTTTTGGAGACTGGGTTATTTATTTATTTATTTTTGCTTAAATTCTTTTATTGGTACATTTTAGGTATATAATACATTTCCATTTATCATTGGGTGCTTGTACCTGTACATGATGTATCTTGGTTCTTATTTTTTCCCCATTACCTGTGTGCCCTTCACCCCCTCCACCCTTCCCTAATTACATAGACTTTGTTTCCATGTTTTTCTTTTCTCAAAATTTTTCCTTTCCCTTCTTTCCTTTCCCTTTCCCCTCTCACTTCCCCTACCCCTTTGGACCTTTTCTTCCTATTTCAAATTATCAATTATTCATTTTCATTCTTATTTACACTTTCAGTTTCTCACATTAGAGAAACTATTTGGTATTTACACATGTGTGTCCTATTTATTTCACTTAAGAGTATGGCCTCAATGTGCATCCACTTAGCTATAAATGTCTCCAGTTTCTTATTCTTTATGGCTGAGTAGTACTCCACTTTATAGAAAAACCACATCTTCTTTATCCAGTCTCCAGTTGATGGGCAATTGGGCTGTTTCCAAGCTTTCATTATTACAAACTGTGGTGGTATAAACATGGGTGAGCATATATCACTGTGGTGTGATTCTTTTAATTCTTTGGGGAAGATACCCAGTAGGGGAATAGTGGGGTCAAATGGGACCTCCAGCCCTAGTTCTTGAGGCATCCCCACACTGATTTCTACAGTGGTTGCACCAGTCTGCACTCCCACCAACAATGGAGAAGGGTTCCTTTCTCCCCTCACCCCCGCCAGCATTTGTTATTGGTTGATTTCTTGATAGCAGCCATTCTTTGTGGGGTGAGGTGGAATCTCAGCGTTGTTTTCATCTGCATCTCTCGAATGACCAGTGATGTTGAACATTTTTCGTATATTTATTTGGTGCTTCTACTTCCTTGTCTGAGAAATGTCTGTTCATTTCAGATGTCCATTTTTGAATTGGGTCTTTGAATTTGGGATGTCTGAATTTTTTCAATTCTTTATATATTCTAGATAGTAGACTTTTGTCTGAGGAACAGCTACTAAAATTTTTTTCCCACATTGTAGGTTGTCTCTTAGCTCTGTTGGTTTCTCGTGCAGTGCAGAAGCTTTTGAATAAGCTGAGATCCCAGTTGCTGATTCTTTGTGCTGGTTCCCGTGCTGCTGAGGATTTGTTCATGAAGTCTTTTCCTATGCCAATGTCTTCAAGAGTTCTCAGGATAGGTGTGTTTGAAGCAAGGGGGAGTATTTTGAGAGAGGTTAATGCCAATATGTTTTTAATTGTAATACATGTTTACCTAAACATTCACTGTAGTATTTGATAACATCTTATTTTTCTTGATGATTTTAATTTTTCATATTCATCCCTCTGTGCAGTGATAGGTAGGGTGATGACTCACTTTTGCTTGGCAGATTTAGCAAAAAACAGTAGCAAAGAAATATTCAGTTACATTCGAATATCAAATGAGCAATGCATTACTCTTGTCATGTTTTAGTATAAGGAGGACCCATGCACTATTTGGGACATACACGAAATCTTTGGTGCCATTTATCTGACTTTCAGGCTTGGCTGAGTGCCCTGCATATTAACTGGCAGCTCTTCTCTGAGAGGGATCCATAGACATTCATCAAAACCAGGCAGGGATGAAGTGAGGCACAAGTGTGTGTCTGAAAGTTCTAACTTTTGAAATGCATGACACAGAAATATTTATACCAAAGGCAATTCTGCAGCTGCAGAGTTTGTGTGGCTTGGTGTCATTAATAGACTAAGTCCCATCCCAGCTCCTAGACGCCAAGTATCCAACATGGCGGAGCTTGGTGCTGCCAGATAGGACAGTCGCTGTCTCCCAGGATGTGGAAAGCCTGCCTTTCTCTGCCCACTGCTAGTTAGAAGTGGCTATTCGACTCGCTGTGCCCAGTAGAGTGGAGTAAGAGTGGTGTCAGTCGCCTTGGTGGCACCATGGGTCATGTATCTCACAGTGACCTTCAGTGCTTTCCACAGTGGCTCAAAGTCCTCTGCAGAAAGGATGACATGTACTCAGGGCAGAGCCCCCAGCCCACCCATGGCAGCCATGGTCAGAGTAAGGGAAGAGAGGCACTGATGTAAGTCATTAAGATTGGGGATGGTTCTCATGAAGCATCATCTAGTTTATCCTGACGGATACAGTGGGTGGTTATTTGGGTGGATACTTGACATCCATGTCTGAAAAGATAAGGATAATATAACCAAAACATAAATATAAAGTTTAATTTATAAATATAAAATATAAATAAATTGTCAATTTTAATTTTGAATAATTTAAGACTCATAAGAAGTTAGAAAAATAATGCAGAGTTGAGGTGTGGGCTGGGACCTATGGAATGTGCAGTTGACTCAGTTTCAGGACAATGCTGGTGTGGCTCCTCAGAGGACTGACTTCCGGAAACCAGTGGTTATCCTGGAGCCAATCAATTGGAAAGGGTTCTTGTCAAGTTCACATGTATCCATGGGAGACAGGAGCCTCCATGGGGACAGCCAGCCAGCTTGTCTCGTGACAAGGCGGCCCTGTTGGAGGTGTGTTTGCTTTTCATTAGCTGCAAGTTGACATTTAAACTTTCCTCTCTCCTTAGAGAGCTGGTCCGTGGGGTTATGTCACTTTTGCTGTCTTAAATGCATGCAAAAACTCGCTGAAACAATAAGCAATGTCTCCTGAACCTGCCTGTGAGTTGGGGAAGCCACAGAGGTTCTTCCTCCTGTGCTGGATGTGCCCTTTATGGGCAAAGGGTTCGACCGCATCCTCTGGGGAAGCTTCGTCCTGCTTCTGGGGCTGCCTGGTGCCAACTCACCCGCTGCCACATTCTGGCCAAATGGGATTTGGTGAGTCTCCTCCTCTTTGTAGAGCAGCTGTAAAGATAGGACTGGTC